CATTTCAAACAAAATCATGGGCTATATTTGTGACCTATGCAAGGGAGACAGGAGGGAGGTGAAAGAAGGAGAAGGGAGGAGGAAGGGGAAAAAGAAAATAAAAGCAATGAGATGAGTGTGAGAGGAAATGAGAGACAGTGAGAGGATGAAATGGCGAGATAGGAAGGAGGGAAGTGGGGGAATAGATATAAATTCAAAATATGCTTTTCTTCCTTGCCCAGATTCTCTATTCATTTCTCACTCTGATCTTGGTATCCTCGCATCTATTAGAGAAGGTTGCCAGGAAATAGGAAAGAAAGAGGGCCAAGGAAAGGGACCACTCGACTAAACGTGGGGACATGCGTCATCATCCAGGGATTGGTCCATGATTGTTGGAGGAAAGAGCTTTGGAATCAATGAAAAATATGAACCATATAATGTATTTTAGAAGGGATAAGTTACTACTTTCAGATAGACAGAGACCTTCAATGAAAGATCAATTCTTCTGAGTCAGAGGCCATGGGAACCTCCTGAAACGAATGAACAAAAGGCACGGTCTAGTCTGTCTGTGAAACTTACTTGGTGTCTTTCTAAGTAAGTCAAGTCTGGAAGGCAGACACCAGTGACAGCCCTAACTACCATTTCTGCTTCTAGTTCTCTCCTCCAGGATGAAAAACAGTACGTAGTATATTGGGCATTTACTATGTGCGGTAATATTTACCTCAAATACTAAAATAGCATAGCATTACATATTAAGGTAATATTAATATTAGTACGATGATGACACTGATGATACTCACCTTTTATTTATGCACTTGCTTTCTGTCAGATGCTGGTTGAGGCACTGCACATACAATACTCTTGTCAGCAGCCCAATGACATTATTCTACCCATTTACTAGATGAGCTGACTGGTGGTGGTCAGAGAGGTGAATTTGCTCACAGTCACATTGTTATTGATAAAACAGGGATTCTAAGCTAATCCTGATAGCCAGATCTGTGCTCTTAACTACCAGGAGAATTCGCCACTTTTTAAAATATATTTCCTCAGGCATGGTGACTCACATCTGTAATTCTAGCACTTTGGGAGGCCAAGGTGGGCAGATCACAAGGTCAGGAATTCAAAACCAGTCTGGCCAACATGGCGAAACCCCAGCTCTACTAAAAATACAAAAATTAGCTGGGCATGATGGCAGGCACCTGTAGTCCCAGCTACTTGGGAGGCTGAGGGAGGAGAATCGCTTGAACCCAGGAGGCGGAGGTTACAGTGAGTCAGGATTGTGCCACTCCAGCCACTCCAGCGTGGATGACAGAGCAAGACTCCATTTCAAATATATGTATATACAGATACATTTCCTAAGATCCCTCATTTCCATTCATAACCTATCAGATATTTAGCATCCACTAATTTATCTAATTACAGATGCTTCTAAAGTGCTTGTAACCTGCTCTAAGTGGGAACAGCATGCATGTTGCAATCTCATTTACACTGTTAATTTGGTAAACTTCCTTCAGCCTCCATCCAACATATCACAGATTCCAGTCTTAATGAAACTTAGTGAGACTTGGCTATAAATATATGGAGGTAACGGCTTGTATAACATTGTAATGTTCCTTGAATTTTCCACCATATTTACTAAGGTTTCTGAAGAGGAAACTTCTTCAATCTCTTAAGAGGAGAGAAAAAGAAAAAGATGAAAACCTCAGGCTATCTCATTGTTACACTTCCTAGAAACTAAGGAATAAATGGCCCAAATTTACCTTAAAATCCTGTCTCCTAATTCATACTAAGCACCTCCCTGTGACCACAAATAGTAATTGATTATGTACTGTATACAGAGTTTAATGTTTCACTATAAAGACATATAAAAAATAATAAAAAGAATAAATACACATGAATATATATGGATCCATTATGAAAATAAGTATAAACAATATAAGAGATATATTTCTTTATTATAAAGCAAAACCTCCTTATAAAAGTTGTCTTTAAAATTTAACTTATGTTGCTCATAAATGTCTTAAATGGCAAAGGTTGCAGATTTTGAAAAGCAAATAAACATCAGGAAAAAATGCAGAAAGGAAAAAGAGCATAGTTAGCCATATTACAATCGAAGACAAAGCATTATGACACAGTGAAAAGAATTTGGGCTTGGGACCAAGACCTGGGTTTATATCTTAACCTTGATCGTCAACTGCCCTATTGAAAAATTTGTGATTAAATAATACCTATATTACAGGGTGATTATGATAGTTAAAAGAAATGATACAGTATGTGTTCATAACTCATTAAATATCTGGTTCATGGCAGGTAATTCAATATAGAGTAATAATTCTTGTTACTTTAATTGTCACTATATTACAATAGACATTTGCTCTATACAGGAAATGTAAAATGACAGTTTGAAAATGTTAAGTGCTGAAATGCTCTTGAATCCCTAAAATCACATACAGCAACAACAAGGTGACTGGTTCTTGTCGACTATAGACCTCCCTGACTGCTCACAAATGGAGCAAACCTCATACTGATATGGCATTGCATGATATGGGGCTATTGAAATTGACCATCTAGAGCAGGATCTCAAAAATCAAATCCATACAAAGATCAAGCTGGAAACAAAAATCCGTGAAGCAGACTGGGTATCCTAAGATACACGCTTCAGACACAGATAAGAAAGAAACACCACATAAAACTTATATTTGTATCAAAACAGATCGGATATTTTTCAATTTCACAATTCTAAATTTTCTTGAAATTTATGGACCTTTCAGCCTATATTTGATTTTATTACCTTTGATTCAAGGTGGGTTTAATAAATATTTTACTGCTTTTATAATTATCCTAAAGAAGAATAACCCAAATGCAACGGTAAATGTCAAGGCATATTTGGATTCAGACTCAGAGAGGCAATGGGGAGTGGTGGGGAGTGCTGCCAATCAGAGAGTACAGATATTATTGTCAGCTCCAATGTATGGTTGCCAAGTAGGCCTGGCATTGCAAGATTTCCCAGTCTTTCCAAAGTCACAAAAATATCTGGATGTTATGGGGGTATATTTTAATACTTAAATGTTGACCACTTTAAAAAGAAACATGATATGGCCTGATGTTCTGTCTGAAAAAAACACATTTGGGGACATCTGATTGGCAAGGACCTCTAAGCAAAATCACTTGACCATGGAATCAACTGATCAAAATCACGCAGTGATTAATTTATTCCACTTGCGTCCACTGCCTACTGTGTCCAAAGCATTCATGTTTTATGTTGGAAGAAATCCAAGAAGAATATGATGTTTGCAACTACGGGTTTTGAAATCAGATATCCTTGGTTTAAATCCCAGCTCTGCAACCTTCTAGCTGCATCATCAGTAAAATGGGGATGATTTCTAACTCTCAGGGATGTTATGAGAATGAAATAACGCATTGATTGTTCATAGCCAACATATGATTGTCGGTTGTTCACAGGCTGGCACAAATAAAGGCTAGCTCTTATGATCACTGACAGCCCACTGGTATGGTCCTGCCATTCTGCTCTCCATGTTCACAATCTCTTTCCCTAGCCAGCTTCCTGTAAACCCTGCCTGGTGCTCCTTTCTTGATAATGTCCTCCCATACAGCTACCACCCAAATTAACACAACGGATGTGGATATAGATGCCTCTTCTCCCAACATTGCAGTTGTCATTTTGAATTATGTGGCTTCAGCCTTACTGTGCCACTGTACCTTTAACACACTGTTACATCTGATACCATGAATCACCCAGTCCTGTTAGACCCGATTTATGTCCAGCTGCACAGCTGTATTTTCTTATGCCATGTCTTGTTATATATGTCCTTACTGACTGGCTGAGGCAGCGGCTGCAAAGTCTCCTAATTTCAGAGTCCTGGACTGTGCTGCCATATTAAAGAGCCTCGTGGTACTACGTGAAATTTCCTTCCTAGCCCTGTGCACCTATTCTCTTCCTCTCTGAAGACTCCACTCTATTCCTACCATAAAGTTTATTTCCTAATATCTCTTGATTCAGGCTACTTGTCTTTTCTGCCTTAAGACTTCTCCAAATGCTCATCAAATATGCTTATTCATCTTGATAAAGAATTCATGCTGGCTGAACTCTAGACTGAATATACCATTATATCCTCTCAAATCCTCTCTTCTGCCCTTGTGCATTTTTCCTCTAATTTAATTTGAGAACTTCCACAACTGCTTTATTTGATGACATTAGCCACCACAGGGTTTTCACTTACATACAGTATGATGGCTATGGACTGAATTTTTGTGTCACCTCCAAATTCATACGTTAAAAACTAATCTCCAAAGTGATGATATTTGGAAGTGAGGCATTTGGGAGGTAATTAAGTCATGGAAGTAGAGCCCTCAAGAATGAGATTAGTGCTCTCATAAGAGGCTGAAACTGGAGTTCCCCCTTCCACATGTATAGACACAATGACAAGGTACCTTCTATGAACAAGGAAACTGGCCCTCACCAGACACGGAATCTGCTGGCAGGTTGATCTTGGACTTTCAGCCTCTAGAACCCTGAGAAATAAATGCCTATTTTTTGTAAGCCACTCAGTCTATGACATTTTGTTATAGCAGCCCAGAAGGACTAAGATAATGGTGTCAAGAAAAGACTAAAATCTTTAGGATCACATACAGCAAATTCACATACAGCAACAATGAGGTGACTGGTTCTTATCGATTACAGACCTCCCCGGCTGCTCACAAATGGAGCAAACCTCATACCGATAAGACTTTAAGTGATAAGGGGCTATTGAAATTGATCATCTAGACTGGGATCTCAAAATCAAATCCATACAAAAATCAAACTAGAAATGAAAAACAGTGAAGCAGGCTGGGTATCCTAAGATGTATGCTTCAGACACAGACAAGAAAGAAGCACCAGATAAAACTTATACTCAAATTGAATATTTTTCAATTCCACAATTCCAATTTTTTTGTATGTTGCATACAGCTGTATGTTGCTATATGCTGAAAATTTTTTAGGGTCAGCTGTAGTTGAGCACCACTTACCTACCAGGTATGTGACTTTTGGCTACTTCTTTTCCCCTAAGAGCTAAGTTTCCTTGCCTATTAAATGAGGTTAGTCATGATACCTGATTTATATGAAGATAGAGAATAAGCAGATAATGAGAGTGCCTATCGCCATTTCTGGCACACTGTCAGCACTCAATGAATGTTTGCTCCTTCATCATATCAGGAAAAAAAATGTTCATTGAATTCCTCAGGGTAAGGACTGCATCTTTATCATTTCTGAAACTGCAGGAGAGTCACAGTGACTGAGGGATGAAGGACAGAGGTGAACATTTAGAGGAGAGGCACTGCTAGAAGACATGTGCCCATAATACATGTTTCTTATTTCCTCAAGTGAACACAGTTCTCAAACTCACTATACTAGTTCATTTTCATGCCGCTCATAAAGACATTCCTGAGACTGGGCAATTTACAAAAGATAGAGGTTTGGGCCAGGCACGGTGGCTCATGCTTGTAATCCCAGCAGCTTGGGAGGCTGAGGCGGACAGATCATGAGGTCAGAAGTTTGAGACAAGTCTGTCCAATATGGTGGAACCCTGTTTCTACTAAAAAAATACAAAAATTAGCCCCGCATGGTGGTGCACACCTGTAGTCCCAGCTACTCAGGAGGCTGAGGCAGGAGAATCGCTCGAACCCAGGAGGCGGAGGTTGCAGCGAGCTGAGATTGTGCCACTGCACTCCAGCCTGGGTGACAGAGTGAGACTCTGTCTCAAGAAAAAAGAGAGAGAGAGAGAAAGAGGGAGAGAGAAAAAAGAAAGAAAGAAAGAGAGAGAGAGAGAAAGAAAGAAAGAGAGAGAGAGAGAAAGAAAGAAAGAGAGAGAGAGAGAGAGGAAGGAAGGAAGGAAGGAAGGAAGGAAGGAAGGAAGGAAGGAAGGAAGGAAGGGAGGGAGGGAGGGAGGGAGGGAGGGAAAGAAAGGAAAGAAAGAAAGAAAAATGCTCTTTTCCACATTGCTAGGGAGACATCACAATCATGGTGGAAGGTGAAAGGCATGTCTCACATGGCGGCAGACACGAGATGAGAATGAGAGCCAAGTAAAAGGGGTTTCCCCATGTAAAACCATCATATCTTGTGAGACATATTCACTACCATGAGAACAGTCTGGGGGAAATGGCCACCATGATTCAATTATTTCCTATCGGGTCCCTCCCACAACACAGTGGAATTATGGGAGCTACAATTCAAGATGAGATTTGGGTGGGGACACAGCCAAACCATATCACCCACTCACCAGCACCCAGGAATTTTTCTCTCAATGCCTGGGTTGAGTGCTTACTGCACTTAGACTAGAGACAGTCTAATCACCTGGAGGCCATTAGAATGATCAGGAGGGCTTGTTAAAATACAGATCAAGCGGTCCTGCTTCCAGTTTTGGGTGAAGCCTGGTCATTTGCATTTCTAACACTCCCCGATGATGCTGATGCAGCCTGTCTGGGGACCACACTGTTGACTTTAGGTATAAGTGAAGTAGAAGGTGACACTTGACTCCAGAGGTGGGGCTCATAAACTGGACCAAATTGAGGACTGGATAAAACAGGGACAGGGCAGAAACAACTTTCCATAAGACACATCTTCCAGTGTGCCATGTCAGTTTACCATTGCCATGGCAATGACCAGGAGTTATTACCCCTTTCCATGGCAATGCCATGACAACCCAGAAGTTACTACCCTTTTCTAGGTATTTCTGTATAAACCACCCCTTAATATGACTGCAGAACTGCCCTGAGCTGCTACTGTCAGCACACTGCCTGTGAGGTTCCCCTGCTCTGCAGGAGCACATGGAGCTGAAACACTGTAGCTGGAGCTGTAACACTGCCACCTCAATAAAACTGTTTTCTTCTACCCTACCATCAACTTGCCCTGGAATTCTTTTCTAGGTTAAGCCAAAAACTCTCATGGGCTAAGCCCCAATTTGGGGCTCTCCTGCCCTACATCAAAACCACTCTATCTCTGCAGTTCTCAACTAGGGGGTCGATTTTGTGTCTTAATTGGACATTTGGCTATATCTAGATACTTTTGGTTGTCCCAACTAGGTTGGGAAGGATGCTACTGGCATCAGTGGGTAGAGAGCAGGGATGCTGTTAAACATCCTACATTGCACAGGACAGCCCTCAACAAAAGAATTATGCAGCCCCAAATTCAAAGAATTATGTGGCCTCAAATTCAATACTGTTCAGGTTGAGAAGCCTTGCACCTTCTACCCCCATTCCCAGCAAGTATTCAGAATGATGATGTCCATTTGCCCATCAGGAAGTCAGCAGGACATCACTGCTGTATTTCCCCTCCCCTCCTGCTTCACTGAACAGATGAGCAGGTCTCAGGCCACCACAGGGCTTCTCCAGTCTGAAGGCAGAGCTGTCTGACTACATCACTGCCTGCTTGAACCCTCCATGGCTCCTAATTGCCCCTTTAATAAAGACCAAGACCCTTCCCATGCATCCAGGGCCTGCTTGTCTGCCTCTCTAGCTTCCTGTCTTGCATTCACCCTAGTGCCCACCTCCCAGCTGCTCACATCTGCTTTCAGATTCCCTACGTTGCCAACTCTCTCTCACTGTGGACCTAGGCTTATTTTTTCTGTTGGTCTTAGGGCTGCCACAGAAACACTGCAGAATTAGAGGCTTAAACAATAGAAGTTGCGTCCTCACAGGTCTGGAGGGTAGAAGTCCAAGGTTGCATTGTTAGTAGACTTGGTTTGAGGACTGTCTACCTGGCTTGCAGGTGGCAGCCTTCTCAGTGTGGCCCCACATGGTCTTTACATGTGTGCATGTGTCTGTGTTCAAATTTCCTGTTCTTATAAGGACTCCAGTTATTCTGGTTTTGGGTCCACCCTAAAAATCTCATTTTTTAAATTGTATTTTAAGTTCTGGGTACATGTGCAGAACATGCAAGTTTGTTATGTAGGTATACACGTGCCATGGTGGTTGGCTGCATCCATCACCCCTTCATCTACATAGGTATTTCTCCTAATGCTATCCTTCCCCTATCCCCCTACCTCCCCACCAGGCCACAGTGTGTGATGTTCCTCTCCCTGTGTCCATCTGATCTCATTGTTCAACTCCCACTATGAGCAAGAACATGTGGTGTTTGGTTTTCTATTCTTATGTCGTTTGTTAAGAATGATGGAATTTTTAACTTAATTGCCTCTTTAAAGGTCTCATTTCCAAATACAGTCTTGTTCTGAGGTACTGGGAGACAGAAATTGAGCATATGAATTTGGGTAGGAGATATAATTCAGCTGATGACATCTGGGAAATTCCCATTCAACCTTTAGGTATGAGGCTGAATGTTGTCACCTCTGGGAAGCCTTCTCTGGTTCCTTCCTCCATCCTCATATGCCACCATGGATTACCCTTATTACACATAACACCTCTCACACTGTATGGTATCAACTCACCTATCAGCAGTCCCTGGAGATCAAAGCTCTAAAGGGCAGACACTGTGGTTGCCTTGTTGAATCCTATATCCCCAGAGCTAGCACCACTCTTGAGAAAAAGAAGATCTTCAGTACACATTGGGTACGTAGTTTAAAGAGCCGCAAGCAGCATCTGTCCTAGATTTTAGATATAAGACTTAATGTCATGTGATATCTTGTTCAATAAAGAAAATTCATTGAATCACTCAATTTATTTTATCCTGAGTTTGGTCCTGCCAATAAATTCACAGCACAGATTTTATTTTTGTGGCCAGATTACAGTCTTTCATGAAAATGAACAGAAAATGGTTAAACAGGACCTCTAAGTGAGGGAGTGTTACACACAGGATTGCAAACTCTGATATGCCACTACCACTTTTCAAAGATGCTCTTGAATTCCATTTGTCATTTCCCTTTCCAGGGAAAACTCAATTGAACAAAAGTGACACTTAAGTCAGAATGCATAGCAACATGAGGTCAGTCAAGGTTACCATGGTAGTGCTAACTTGTATCAGTTCTTTCCTCTAGGGTTGAGCTCTTCCTACACAATCCTGGCTTGGCATTTGTGGATTTGAAGTTTTCAACATTCCATTTAACTAGGGCCATGGTGGGTGGTTGTTTAGGTTGCATTCTGCATAATCATAGGCTTCAACCCTACTTGCCACACCAGACTTCAAGAACTCATCTTTTCAAGGGGTTATTTAAAAGACCCTGGGAAGTTTGGATGGTTCAGTAGACTCCCTTTATTGTCTTACTTCTAATGGGAGTATTTTAGTGGCTAAACCAATTCTTCATCCTCGCTATGTGACCCAGGTTTTTAGAAAGAGGTTTGAGCAGGACTGGAAGGGTTTGATTCACTCTGGAAGAAATACGAGTTTAACTGCCTGGCTACATGCTCATAGTTCTCAGATCGAGTCAACACATTTACTGTCTATTACATTCATGGCACCATGCCAGTGTTGAAATATAACCCAGGCTAGGCACGGTGGCTCATGCCTGCAATCCCAGCACTTTGGGAGGCTGAGGTGGATGGATCACCTGAGGTCAGGAGTTTGAGAACAGCCTGACCAACATGGTGAAACCCCGTTTCTACTAAAAATGCAAAAATTAGCCGGGCATGGTGGTGCATGTGTGCAATCCCAGCTGCTTGGGAGGCTGAGGCAGGAGAATCGCTTGAATCCAGGAGGCGGAGGTTGCAATGAGCCAAGATTGCGCCATTGCACTCCAGCCTGAACATGAGCGAAACTCTGTCTCAAAAAAAAAAAAAGGAAAGAAACAGAACCCAAAGGTTGTTATTTCTTATTTATAGCTGAAACATAGTAGATGAGTGAGTGTATTAATTTGCTAAGGCTTCCATAGCAAAGTATTACAGATTGGGTGGCTTAACCAACAGAAATTTACTTCCTCATAGATCTGAGGCTAGAAGTCTGAGATCAAGGTGTTGCCAGGTGATGGCAGGATTAGTTTTTTTTTTTTTTTTTTTTTTTTTTTTCCAAGTCTTTCTCACTTTGGCTTGTGGATGACCATCTTTTCCCTTGTGTCTTCACATGGTCTTCCCTCTGTACATGTCATTGTCCTAATCTCCTCTTCTTATAAAAACACTAGTCATATTGAATTAGGGGGTCCACCCTAATGACCTCATTTTAACTTAATCACCTCTTTAAAGACTCTATTTCCAAGTACAGTTACATCTGAAGTGCTGGAGGCTATGGCTTCGGGATATGAATTTGGGGAGGAGGACAAATGAGTAACCAAAATTCCCTCTGAGCTACAACGTCCTTGTATTAGGCCACTCTCCCACTGCTATAAAGAAACGCCTAACCATCATTCTCAGCAAACTGACACAAGAACAGAAAATCAAACACCACATGTTCTCACTCACAGGTGGGTGTTGAACAAGGAGAACACATGGATACAGGGAGGGAAGCATCACACACTGGGGTTTGTCAGGGGGAAATAGTGAAGGGACAGCAGGGGGTGGGGAGTTGGGGAGGGATAACATGGGGAGAAATGCCAGATACAGGTGATGGGGAGGAAGGCAG